CCTCGCCTCGTATCTGGGACTCCGGGACATTGCACCGCCCCGGCCTCTCCTGCACCCCGGGACCCTCCCCAACCTTGCCTCCACTCGGGGACCCCTGGACATTGCAGCCCCCTGGCCTCACCTGCACCCTGGGACTCCCCACACCTGGCCTCGCCTGCACCCCAGGACTCCTGGACATTGCACCACCCTGACCTTGTCTGCACCCCGGGACCCCCCCCACACTTGGCCTCACTTGTATCCCGGGACCTCCTACACTCACCATCGCCTGCAAACCTTGCCTCCACTCGGGGACCCCTGGACATTGCAGCCCCCTGGCCTCACCTGCACCCTGGGACTCCCCACACCTGGCCTCGCCTGCACCCCAGGACTCCTGGACATTGCACCACCCTGACCTTGTCTGCACCCCGGGACCCCCCCCACACTTGGCCTCACTTGTATCCCGGGACCTCCTACACTCACCATCGCCTGCAGCCCGGGACCATCCCAAAGCATCACCTGCATGCTGCATCCTGAAGCATCACCTGCGCCTGGCATTGCCTGTTCCCTCTCCTCCTGGGGACCCTGCACCTTGTCCTCCAGGCCTGGGGCTGAGCATCCCTCCTCTTCTGCTCTCCACTACTTGTTCTTTAGCCAGGTTTTAATCCATTTCACCAGATGCCTCAAGGTTACTAAATTACCAGACAGTGCATTTACCAAGGACAGCTGTGAACTAGGCTGTCTTTGTTTGTGCTAAGGGCAAAATCATACCTGAGGTTGGGCTAAATAGGAAAGGTCTCATTCAAAATATCTTCTGCCAGGATGGACTTTTCCATGTTAGACTAAGCCTATATGGGTTTTCATTGAAGCAAGTGAGCTGGCTGCAGCACAACCTGGAAAAGGTAGGCTGAGTGAAACAGATATCACAGCCCCATTTAAAAAGGACTCAGATACATTTTGAACAACTGGCAAAGTTTGTATGTAGATCTGTATCTGTAGCCGATAGATATTAGTAGAAGCTGCAGGCTTCACAGACTCTACGACTGCAGTTTAGCTAGATTGAAAAACAAGGCCTTAGCATAAATCTTAAAATAAGCAATTAACCAGGAGTAACCCTCGGTCAGAATATATCATAAAATAAAATGTTATAACAAACAAGTGTGATTAAACTGATAAATAACTGTTGGATGCCAATTGATTCTAGCTTTAGATATTTTAAAACAGGAACATCAGCAGATACTGAACTGCAAAAATGTGATGGCAACCCATTGACATCTATACTAATGAACTTGAGGTAAATGGAATAAAATGTGAAAGGAGAGCAACATTATTAGGGTGAGGAAGTTTAGATACTAATAGAAGATGCAGGACATTTTTATCTATGCTCATGGCTGCCATATAACCTGTAACCTCTGCCTAACCACTTGGGTTCTTGGCATGCCAGAGATAGAACCTGTCTCAGTAAACCCCCTTTACAGTTTACAGGATTTTCCATTAGATCAGCACTTTTCTAAATTACATACTTCCTAAATCAGTGCGTTACAGAGATTACAAAGACTGTGACCCTGAAAGTATTTTTACAGAGCAAGTGAGAACAAGAAGACATTGTTATATTTGAGAAAGCACAGTACCTGCTCTAGCCAGACCCTGTATCTATCTTTCCAGACTGCAAGGACGAAGGGGATAACCCATGTTCAAA